CGCGACGGCCGATGTGGCATGAGTTTATTTGTTTTTGTCCAATTCATGGTTGCACGTGGGCTGGGATATTGCTAGGGCGCCCACAACAAGACAGGAGGACGATTAGGGTCCTCAACCAAGCCTTTGGCTGGTAAGGTCCAGTCTCTTCGTGACGGACTCGAATAGTACACCAAGAAATCTGTTTACGTCATGAGATTAAACAAGATCCTGAAGCTTTAAATCAACTGAAATGGTTTAAGACGCTGCACGAAGTACACAAATAAGTGTGTTCCATTGACCGATGAAAGCATGAATTTTTGTGAAACGAGGTTACAATCTTAACCATTCAGAGTATTCTGTCAAACTAAACAGTTACAGCATGCACCCCAGATTCCAAATAAGGACTACAGCTCCCATGCTAAAGCGAAGACAGGAGCACAAAATCCACTCCACTGACCAGTAGTGGTCTGGGGGCTAAAGACCCCACTTCCACCGCGGGCATTATTAAAGCCTGGTTCAGTTACTTTTGTTTTTCAAACCGAACAGGAGATTACACTCAGACAATATGCCAAACCTTTTGATATCAGTTTGACGCTGCAAGCTACTGATGGAACATGTGAATAGTAAGTCGTTGGATGTTAAAACATAATTGTGGTTATGCAAGCCTCTGAATTCATATGGTAGAGCAACCAATGAAGGAAGTAGGTTTCTCCTTCCATAAAGGAACCTACTCCCAAATTCGCCGAAAAATCTTCGACAGCCCACGACCGGTTTCACCCTTCTTGGGGCTCATCAGGTAGGCGCAGTCGCTGAGTTTTCGTGCACCTCATGTGTTACTTGAACCCAAACTGGACTGACTTCTACAATTGCACCATTTGCAAATCAATTTGGTTTTCACGAGAGACTTAACTGAATCGCTAGTTTATGATATTCTTCACGTTCCGCCCCTTATTACCTTTCTCGGATGTCACACTCTCCCGATCCGTTCGAATTAAGCAGACTTTCGGAATGATCTGCTACAGACACCTAAGATGCGTGCTTAGATACTAAGGAAAAGGGCAACCTTCGCGATAGTGCCTATAAACTTGACTACCGTGGTAAACCAAACAGCAACAATGAATCTCGACCTATCCTGATAAACCTGTGTAGAATGAACTCCCGCAATTAGTAACTCATCGTTCTGATGGGTAGTGAGCTCCATCGGAAAAAGCGCTTATTAGAAAACGGAAATGACTCGAATCACGTTGGCTAAGTCGCGTTACTTGCGGCGTCAAAAAGGCATATCACTAGATTTTAAGGGTCGCGTGTATTGGAGTATGGGTGCGAGACGTGGCTTCTGCGAATAGATGGTGTGAGGCTTCTTCCAACTTTTGACCACCGATGTCTCAGAAGCGTGGCTGGTATTGGATGGCATCAGCGTGTTAGTAACTAGGTGATCAGAAAACTGGTGTTTGGTTGTGCTGCAGGTAATTCAATTCGGGAAAACACCTAGCACAACCGACTATGGTGGTTTGGTCATGTGCTACATCTAGCGACGTCAGAGCGGCGCAAACCGCGAGGTGGACAGTTTGTGACTGCAGAAGTGTGTGAAAGAGGTTACGAGGAGTTTGTGGTGTTGTTGGTGTTGTACGCATTCCAGGATGGTGTACCCATGGACCCACCTTTGCTTGGCTGCGGACTTTGCAAGAACTGGCGGTTAATCGCTGTCAATGGCTTTCAGGTTGTCAGTTTCTTTCCAGATTGTCTGATCGAGCACCTCAGAATTCTTGATATAGCCCAGCACTAAGTCCCCTCCCTCATCCACTCTTGTTCTCTTCTTTTCGCTCTAGGGTTTTAAAATATTTAGACGAACCTTAAGGTTGTACGACAGTAAAGTATCAATGTCAACACTGTTGTTGCTGTCCTTGATGATTATGACGACCAAACTGAAAAACCGATTATAATAGTAGACGTTTCATTCGTTGTGCACAGGTGACATATGGCCTTAGGCCCGAAGGCTCACTGTCCAACAGGAATACTTGGTATTTAGCCTGCGTCTCGAAACTATCCCAACTTCCCCCAGCATTTTGGAAAGATAACTTTGTAATTCAACGAACTGACTGCTTGTATCAGTAGTGGCTTTGACCGACGAATCACGTGGCGTTTCGATTTTTATTCATATTCCACAAAAAAATCGATAACACTGACGCTGGCTTCACTGTCCAAACAGTACAAAGCTTGATTACGGTTCACCGAAAATGCTACCCGTGCTGTGAGAAACTGAGAAGAACACTGAATAGTAGAAAGCCGGGGATTTACACAACAGGGAAATAGGCAGTGGTAACTCAACAACGACCGAAATGTCAGCTGCAATTCGGCTTCGCCAGGGTAGAGACGGAGTGGTCAAGTCTACGTTTGGGGAATCGATACGCTACTTGGCAAAGTCCTATTACCCGTACATTTATTCCGATAGTCGAAACATCTCCAAACCTGTGGTGGATTTACAGGCAGCTTTTGAAATATGTTCAGAGTCTTTGGAAGAGTACGATAAGATAACCGGTGAAATGGCCAGCCTAAACTATTCGATCTACGGCATCGAACAGGCATTGTTGCGAGCATTGAATGAACTATCGATTATTCGTGAAGAGGTTGCGGATTTGATGAATGCTCTACGTACTAGTGAAAAGTTCAATCTAAGACTGCTGGATCAACTTTCCGCGTTAGAGGAGAATATCCAGAGTGGAGTGGAGTCTGGACGATCTGTGCTCTCATCCACCAAACTTCCAATGCAGTCTATGACGATGGCACCAGAGCATTATATGATTCCGAGGACCACACGTGAAACGCTGGAAGCCATTATTGAACAGGGTAAACCGGAAATGTTCACTGCCACTGGTGCAGATAATTTATTGAGAGACAGGCTAGGACCTGATGTGGCGCGGTTGACCTGGCTGGTGCAAGTTCAACGTGAACTGGCACACCGACATGCCGAATTCAGTTTCCTTGTGATAAGTTTGTGGTCAGAACAAGTACGGGACAATTTTCACCTGTCCGGTCGTAAAAGTAGTTGTTTTGGGGGGCCAAAGACGCTCCAAAATCGTCGAAAGTCAGCAGGAGAGGAAGATAACATCTTGAGAATGGCCAGCGCAGCTCGAATTGAAGAGTTACCCACGGTAGTACAAACTATTCAGGGCCGTGTTTTTGAGCTTGGCGGTTTGATTGTCGACGAGTTGAACCGACTGAGAACCGCCTATGAGGAGACCAAGATGCAACACCGTACACTCAACACAGAATTGGCTGAAAGAAGACGTCAGCTTATTGACAGTTTGTTGGCAACGCACAGCGCAGTGCAGACACTACTTGAGTTAGATGAACGCAATGATGCCTTGGTTGGCAAACTTGTAAAGACCAGGCCACTATTTGCCGACCTATATAGAATTGTTCAAAGTGAAACTGGCTCGGATGAGTACAGGAGCACTGCTCCATTGCAAAGTCTAGCCGAAATATTGGGACCACAGAACTGGCGGGCGTTTGTGGACCAGTTGGGAAGACTTCGACTGAATCCGGGTGAATCTGTAACGGAGGCTGACTAAACCCAATGACCTGGCAGCATGGAAAACGATGGCATAAAATTCAGCTGATTTCTGTTTTCTAGCCTGGTCTTTGAAGGACCGATGACCTTTTCTGAAGAGTGGTGAGTCAACTGTGAAAGGGTCACAGGTAGTAACCATCTTGGTTCTCAAAAATATACGCGCAACTATTGAGAATTTCTCTATGTACCTTCTTTACTGGATGGTATTATCACTTAATGAGGAAGATAAAGGAGCTTATTGCTAGTCCTTTAGAAGCACTCAAATTTTTCTCTTCGGTTTCATCATTACTCGCATTGTACTTGCTTTTGCAAAGTTTCTAAACAGAGGGATGAGGGAAAAAGGTCCCAGATGAGTAAAAACTCTACAAAACTTTCGATGTCCATGCAGACACTAGGACCTGTTGAGGAGTTGAGTGATTTGTGCATTACTTTCGGACAGGAGAATTCTGTAAGACGAGGCATGTATTATAACTTCAACAAAGTATTTAAGCTTCAGTTAAGGCTGTCTAACCCTTAGTATAACAACATTTAGTTAGGTTTAGGTCGTACGCTACTACTCATGTGCGTTGAACGACAATTTCAAACCTTGTTCTGGGTGCACATGCGCCTGGTACTGACTATTTAAATGAGTTAGAAAACTGAATTTCCCATAAAGCGGGTTTAAAAAAGCCAGAATCTAAACTACTGCTTTAACTTCAAAAGTAGTATGTTGCTTCAAAAAATGTCCATATGACGTGTAAATTCATCCACATGATGATCGGTTAGGGTTGTTACGTCCAGTTTTATTTCAGAAGTGATATTTCTCGAAAGCAGAGCTTCCTTGATTTTCTCTCGCTGGATATTAACGACGCCCGTGTTCTCATCCTCTTTATCACTAACAGCATAAGCGTCTAAGGATTGATGCTTCACTGCCATACAACCATATTTTATCTGGAAGTATTGCTGTAAAGAGAAGGATGGGGCTGGGTGGGAAGGAGACTTAGTGGTAGCCCACCATATTCAATCCGTGGTGCCAACAACTTTGGATACTCATTCGGACGAAGGGAAGATACTCGAATCCATTAGCAGCCAAATATTGCGGCGTCCCCAGCCATGCACAGAGGATTACGCGGACCCCACACTGGAAAACTGGTTGCACTGAGATTACCCGGTCAAAAGATCAGATCAAAGGGCGCGCCGACCTCTCTGAATTGTAAATATCATCAAGCCTACCGCCCTACTTAGTTCCTTATATCATTCTCGCTTCAAGTTATTGGCATGAAACGTTTTCAGTAAAAAGAGACTATGATTAACAAAGGATTGCATATACACAAGGCATTAAAGCTTACAGGTATCCTTTAGAGAAAAGGAACTAGGAACAGGCTGTCATTTGTATGCTGTATTCATTCGGCCTGCTAGGACTTCATCCTCATTCCAGGCCCTCTCCCGACCAGCGACTGTTGCTGGACAGTCTGTGTGACAAGAAGACCAAAGGTAAAAAAACTCCGAAGGAAAATGTGAATACGTTGGTTTTCAGATGTATTAGAATGGAGACACTTGACTGAATGCGTAACACTACGAACTTCATACTCGAACCCATCTAGATCTTTTGGTGAGAAGCAAGTTTTTTTGAAAGACGCCGATTTAGGTCGTGTCCTTTGCCTCAATAAAACTTCTTTACTTGACGCAAACCACTGGTTTAAGGATATTCCCCATATACTACGGCTCAATCTAATGAGTAGCACAGCTGAAATCTCTAATATACCACCAGAATGGCAAGCACAAACCCAGTATCAAAAGTAAAACCACTTCAAAGAACAAAGTGACCAAAATTTTGATTTATATTCATATATATGTCTCTTTCAATCATAGTGAGGTGTCGCTAGACGAAACTGATGCACTTTTGTCCCTTGTTCCAACGAAGAAGCGGTCTTTTTCCGTAATTTAGACGCATAATTCCCAAGTAAACAACCTTTATGAATGTTCCTTTCATGCTTCTAAAAAGTGGGCCTTTGTTAATCATACTATCAGGAAGTTTCGAATTGCGTTTTGTCGTCGTACAGAACCCGATACCGTCCGTCCGACTCAACCATGGCTACTTCACCCAGAATGGCAAAGACCTCGATTGAAGCCATTTTGGCATAGCCCTTTGGGATATATCATCATTATCATCATCATCATCA